AAAAAAACAAACAAATAAAATCATTTGCTCTGTCTGAATGGACATTGTACCTAACTTACTGGCAGTAAAAACTCGTGTTCTGACTTTCGCATAATCCGATGTGGACACACAGCATTGGCGAAAGTATATCCGTTATTAATAGGGATTCGTTGAAGCGGACAGAGTAGGCTCGTACAAACTCAACATAACTGACTGAAAGTGTGAAACACAAATTGATCGCCCATAAACCGGAAGTCAGTAGAGTCTGTGGTTAATTTAATGAGGTGATGTAAGGGAAACTGGATCGAGACTTCTCACCCATTCATTGAAGTGTACCACAGTCTGCCCAGTGGTGAAAAAACTCTTCATATCCGAGGGATCGATGTACCGAACACGCCAGCATTTATATAAACGCTTACATTTTAGTGAATTGTGTGCTTTTTGTACCTACTGGAATTCACCATAAATGCCAAGTACCTGGCCTAAGCAAGCCAGTTCAAAGAAATCACAGGTTTGCGCTGGAAGGATGAACTTGACGAGCCTATTAGAATGGAAATGTCGTAAGTTTTCGTGTGAAAACCTTCCCTTATTGCGACTAAAGTTATGTCAGAATAATAATGGTACAGTTACTACAGTCGTTCTTACAAGTGCGTGGCGTGGGCAATGTCGTCATACACAACCGATGTTTGGACTTAGACTGCGAGCCGTAGGTATTCTACAAACAATTTGAATTCCCTTCGCCACTAAATTTATGCGTTAAAACTACTTAAAAAAATTCATGATGCTCAGCGCTCTTTGCCAAAAACGATTTAGGATAAGAGAATACAGGAGATTGAAATAAACAGTGGGCTCAGATGATTGCAAGTACTTGCAGGTTGAATCGAAATCACTGTATTTTATTGGGAAGAACTACTGGGAGGCATTTTGTAGGAGTAGACGAACACCAGCTCTGCACAAAACCTTTTTCCAAGCACTCCACCTACGGTTCTCAGTGTGCTGAGTGTACGCTGAGCGTATTACTTCATATCGGACTTAGGCTTTATTATTATATCTTAAACGGACAGCCAAATAGTCTGACACGCTAGTCAGTTTAGGAAGCTCAGTTAATTCAAAGCCTCGGGAAGGAGCGTAAGGCAATGACGCAGTGATTT